TGTCGGGTTCTGTCAGCTGCTTTGTGAAATTATTAGCAACGGCCATCGTCTCAAACTGCGTTAAAAAGTCATGAGCGTCTTCGTAAGAAAAACCACCAAACTTCGGTAAATCACCCAATTCAAGAGCTATTATACGGGTAACTGCAGCGGCATTTTCATCATTGAAAAAGCTCAATAAATTCTGATGTACAGTAGCGTTATTCTGCAGGCTTTGCTGTAAAGCTGCATTCTGCTGAGCGGCAGCGGCATTAACGGTGTTAAGAATATTCTGCAGTGCTTGCGGGTCTATAGCCATGATATTGACTTGCTGGTAATTAGTACTTATTAATTATTGCAAACAGCCTGCTAACTGCGGAAAGTTGACTATACGATCGTTAATTAAATTACTTGGAAAATGGCGCTTTACGGAATTCGAAAAGAGTATTAGGATCGGTAACAGTTGAAATTGTTGTTGTTAAAAGTGTTAAAGCTGTTCTTAGTTCTTTTTGGGAAAAAAAATTGGATGTGATACATAAGGACTTACTGTTGAAACAGGGAGGCGGAGGGGTAGCGGTGGTAAAGGCTAAAGGGCACTGTTCAACAGGGAGGCGGAGGAGTAGCGGTGGTAAAAGTTAAAGGGCACTGAAACTGTCGACTTAAAAAAATTTCGTTCTCGGTATGCGACTCCAAGTATAACGGGCAACGGAACCGGCTGATACTGCTCGAAATATTGCTAACCCAACGACTGAGGATACCACAGGAAATACAACGCTATATATACTGAACCGCTCGTACAGGAACAGGAAATACAAGAGGCGGGACAACCAAGCACATACTCGTACATACTAATACATGAGATAGGAATCCCCCGTTACACAGTAGCGCAAACTTTTATTCTCTTCTACACATTTTCCAGATCTGTGACCCAGCAGCACTGGCTGCAGAATCTGTGCTGAATCCATTTATTTAATTTAGTGTTTTATGCAGTATCGCTGTTAACGTCGATACTTCCGGGTTGGGCCGTCGTAAGCGCAAGGGTGCGGGCCTTTCGGCCAGCTGACAGCACCGATAGCGATAATATTAAGCAGTAGCGATTGAAATTCTCTTAAAGATGTTTCTGCGTCGAATTTTGCGTAACTCTAAGCCACGGCCCACCGCCGGCAAACGACGTGACAGAATAAATGCCAGGTGAAACAGAGAGTGGCCGGTCGAATAAATGGCCGGCCACTACAGAGGGTGTCGCAGCCAAGTTGACCCAGGCTGGAAAATAATCCACAATAATTCCCCCATTAACTTACACCCTCCGCTCGCTACGAAATCTGAAAATCTAATGTTTCTTCTGTCAACTGATTCAGTCTTGGCAGTTGCAGCTGTAAAAATGGGTCCGAAAACAGACGTTGCAATTAAGCACCGTGTTTTCGCTCTTGGAACAATTTTGAAAAGTAGTAGAGAAATTGTTAAGCGTCTTTTTGATGATGAAATCGTTGTTTCTAAAAGTACAGTCAATCGTTTATTGAAAAAAAATTGCCCGGACCGGGGAGGGAAAGGATCCCCAGTAAAGCGCCTGGGAGAGCAGAATCGACCGAAAGTGCGTGCCAACACCGTCATCGCAAAGGTACGTCGTGCGATCAATGTACCGAATCCTCCTTCTCAAAGCTCTTAGAATTTCCAGTAAATTCTGAAAACGTCTCTAATGAGCGAATTCCAGTTTCGCAACTTAGCACAGTTACCCGTACTTGAAACTGTCAATTACATCAAACCTAAAATTTTATTTTTTAACTTCTTGAAACCTTAAGACGTTTTTAAATCCGTTCGGATACCTCAAAATAACTAGAAATTTTTCCAAAGTCGGATTTAAAGATTTTACATTTCCAAAATGTCTAAATACCGTAATTATCGAATTTTCACCTCCCCCGTAATAAGGCCCCCCTGCGTAATAAGCCCCATCCCACAACTCGTTTGAAAAATACTGTAGCACCTCCTCCCGGATTTACCGCCCAGGGGGACGTTATTAAATGTTAAGCGCAACAAGATGATAGATACATATACCGCAAATTGCTCGTAATAGTTCGTAATTCGTATTAGTAATAGTTCGTAATGATTGCTTCATTATAAACAGTCAACGGTCACATAATGTGGTGCGATGCTTCAGAATGCTGCATGTAAGGTTGTGAAATTCAAAATACCGGTATCTACGACGCTCAGTTTCTATAGAACAGGATCCGCAGTTGTTTGAAAAATAACAGCCCCTTCCGAAACATACTGTTTGACAAATAGTACCACCCCCCTCCTCCAAGACGCCTGAACTATTTGCAGCCCAGGGGCGCAAATTCGATAATTACGGTATTTCGACTCGGCCCCGCTGCGCGGCGCCGTTACCTCTGATTTTTCGAGCCTTCAGAGTTTCGAAATTGAGTAGAAAACATCTAGAAATCTGAGTATCTCAATACCTCACGGCCTAAAGCGTCTATTACATATCAACTTACTATTTATGTAAAAGCCGACTTGCGGCCCGTTTAACGTATTCGCTCACGTAGCGGTTCTGTGTTACTGGTGGTAACTTGGATTTTCAATAAACTACGTTGCTCTGTAATGCTTGTGGTAGCCTGGGTATTTACTAACCTCTAAATCTGATAAATATGTATTCGATTTATTTTATTGAATACTGCAGAGTTCACTGAATTGCTGAAAATCTAATTACAATTACTATCTAAAGATGCAGTCTGCGAGGTCACCTCGCACAACTGTTAATTTTTTCGCACAAGTTTCCTTTAATTCTGCGCATATCCGCTGAATTGTTTATGGACATCGTGTAAATGATCCCATTCCATCCATTTTATCACCGTTTAAATGCCATCATTCGTACCAAAAAATTCAAGTTTTGAGTGGACTCGATCGGCAGTATAAAGTTATATTAAAAACGTGAAAAAGACAGACAAAAAGAAAAATTACGGAGGTTTGCACAATTTTTATAAAACTGGTCAAATTTAACCGGAAAGCTTGAAACTTGAAAGCTGTCCGCATTTCTACATGTTTGAAATATTTTTGTAGCTGGCCTCGCTGGGGTTTGACATTTGAATTATTTCTTATAACCTATTTTATTGCTGTACGAAGTATATTTTGTAATTTCTTTCATTCTTGCATACCTCGAACACAACTGGTCGCGCGCTAGTGTGACCAATACTTGTACTGTATAATGGCTGTTGTGTTCATTAAGGTTAGAATCCTTATTTTCCTCCATTTTACCGACCGTATTCTCACGGTTAGAATCTTCTTGAAATTAATCTTGTTGCTGCTATTCTTTCTACGCGCCTTCCGCGCAAGAAATTCGTAATGCGGATGGCACGATAACTTGGCGATGCAGAGACCGGTCTGCAGTTTTAGAAGCAGCAGTTAACGGGGATTCTAGATTTATAAGTTTAGTTGACCAGTCAAACGAACGGCCGTTGCACATGACTGACATTAGCATGCACGGATAAATACACTACGGTGCGATATGGCGGCATGTTTTGTTGTGCGGGCGTCGGTGGTGGGGGCGTGTGGACATATCGTTGTTCCGCGTGTGGACCGCACTGTCACCATAGCGCTGCCAAGCAGACCGTTCATCCAGGTGCAAAAAACCGCCACCGTCTCCGGCAGCGTTACTGTCCACCGGCATCTCCGTAAGGGTCAGAGTGGACCCCACGCATCGAACCAACGGAGTACTAGTTTTTGCTTCTTCCCACTGGGAGCGGCCCCCCAGATCGGTTAGGACGGTACTTTGTAACACGCCGTATAAGCGGATATAATGAGTGGCCGAGAAATCGGAACCGTTGCACTCCAGGCAATAGAGCCCAAATGAGCCAGAGCCACAAAGGATCCAGTTGAAGGAACAGTAACTGCCAGGTTGTCGGTTCGTTCCGTGAGGGTCTGCAGTTGTTTTATGATGGGAGTAAACCGGTTGGTCAGCGGCGCTAGAGAGGCACGATTCACTTCGCACATTTACGGACCGAAACAATGCGGCTCGTTAATTTGGTTGCCAACGGCAACGGCAACGGCAAGGAAGTTTGGCAACGGCGCAGCTTCCGCCACAGGCCAGAAGCGGGCGAAGGAGTTTTTTAGACAGCAGTTATCTATCCAAATGCAACGGGGAAATGCGTTATGTGTTATGGGTACCATCCCCCGGCCCGAGCAGGATAGCATTGAAGAAATGTTTTTTGTTATGAATTTTGTTTCAGTACTCAGTTTGTACTTATATGTGATGCTTATTAAAAGTACATTATCCTCCACTTGGTTGTACAGCATTAGCGCTACCGGCTGTCTTTTGCGGCGAGCATGTCCACGTTTCGTATCATCACATGGAAATATTATCGCACGGCACTTAAATATTTTTGTAATTTTTTGCGACATTTCCAATCGAAAAATTGATGCAAACAATGTGTAAAGAGTGTATGGCAGTATTTTGAAAATGTTGGATTAAGTGGGTAAATTTTGGAATGAATAAAAAATGAACGACATTACTTATTATTTAATTATTGTAAAACTGCGAAGGCGATTGTTATGTATGCTGGCGCATGCCGAAGAAAAGGATTACGACATTACTTGATTAAGCACGTTTTCCCTGCAGCGGAGTGCACTGCAGCCTTTTGCGAGCACAAAATTTCGCCATGCACAGCTTCACAGGGTACAAAATCACAGAACATCAATATCACGCCTCACTCTTTAATTATAGCCGTATCGCATATGAGTCGAAGCAGTCCCTTTCGTACAGCTTAGGACGAAATGGTCGCATACCCAAAATATCCACATTCAGTACGAATGCAGCGCAGTCCACTGTACGACTGAGCTCCAAATATCCGGTTCGTACAAGTGCACTGCACCGCATGCGTATAGAATGCTGGGTATGGAGCTATGCGACCATTTAGTCCTAATTGTACGTGTTAGGCGCACCCGGCTTAGCTGTGGATTGGGCCTGTCAACCTTCGCAAATGGTGTACATCTGCAGTGCTGCACTAGTGACAGCGCCTTCCTGCTTGCGGAAATACTGTTGGCAATTATTGATTTGCGGAAATTATTGATTTGCCGTTGCTTGTGTGTCTGTCTCGGTGTGAGCGTTGTCTATAGTTCCCTGCAGTTACTATCAGCAAACGGTTTGCCAGACGAAATCCGGCGGATTTAGCCTATAGAAAATTTTAATAGTCCTTCCTGCCTTAAACAGCGCACGTTTTATCGCTAACATTTCTTTCTTGTGTTATTTTCAAAAGATTTTCTGACTATTATTTACCATGCGCAGAAGAACTCTCCGCTATTACTTGCTTAAAGTTCCCACTTGGGGATATCAAGAAATCATTACGGAAGCCCTCGTTGTTCTGTGGTTCGCCTGTCAAATTTCTTTGAAATTCGGGATGCGTTCCTTTTCGGGATGGCGGGCGAATCGAGTCGATCCCAACGCTCCACTGGCATTGGACGAAATCCTCGAGTTCTTTGGATATGTAAGGGCTTTTTTTAATGGAACCGTTATTTTGGTGCTAGAAAATTTACAGGGGTGTCAGGTAGGTATTACTCTCACCATGTGGAGTATCTCAGTGATGCAGGACAGTAACATAGTCCCTGCACCTTCTGCCGTCAGTATAACGTTGCGGTTGTACAAAGTGTTTGTGCATCGCGTCAAATTTAATCATACGCTTGCATCATCTAAATGAAAGACTTCTAGTCTCGCTTCGGCCTTAGTGCTAGCCCGAAGCGGTACGCTCTCATGGTTACAGTATTTATTTGTGTGTACCATGTCCGAGGCGTCCCGCACAGTATCGTGCGCATAAAGATTTGTAAATCCTACTTATGTGAATTTCGTAAACGTAGATTACTAGGTTCTAATGGATTCTTGTTGATTTTCGTTAGCGGATGAACGCCTGTCTATGGGATGACGTGATGTCTGCATGGGAATCTGCTTCCGCTATGCCAGCTTCTTCTGGTGCAGTCCATTCATCAAGACCCGCTGTGGGATACATGGGCACCGTTGCCATGGTATGGGCCAGCGCCGTCTTGGCTGTGGCCGTGTGCTGTTCGCTATACATCAACCGGAACTGGAAGTATTCACCCTGGCACTGGCAGTATCACTTCCGCCATTGTCGACGGCTGGCTGCGATTTTTGGTTACTCTGGCTATGACATTCCGTCTTGCATTGCAACGGTTCTGCGTTGTGTGCCGCTGCTGGTCGGATTGGGCTGTGTTGCCACGGTGTGGCTTGTTGTGTGCGCACTGCCGGTTGTTGTCTTAGCGGCGACCATCGTTGTGGCAACGGCTAAAATACTGGGGACCATCGCAGTGTTCCCTTCTTGCGTCATCATTATATGTTTGCTGGCACTGAACTGCCTCGGGCGATTGTGCGGATTGTGGATGGATCGGCCGTATTTAGCTGCGGTTTACCAGAAAATTCAGTAAGTAGCTGCGCTGTGTGCTGCAACGTGAAAATTTGTTGCGCGCATCCATTTTGAAATCATAATGTGTCGCGTGGGGCTAATTAGACGGCAACGTGCCCTTTACCGAATAACCTGGAAGTACTGATTTTAATGGAGATAATGCCGCCAAACCGCATTCTACCTAACCCCCCCCCTCCATTAAACGTATTTTGCAGTCAGAGCTGCTGAGCTCAAGATCCAGAAAACATATGAAAATGCCTGGAAACGTATGAAGATAGGAAAAAATTTGCGAAACGGCGAACATCAAGTCAGATGGGCGGAGCGCTATGAGTTATAGGAATGTTTCTTACATCCGTTACTTGGCTCATTTTATTTTGTCTAGAAGAATGCTGCTTAAAAGGAAGATATCCAAATATTATCTTCTGGAAGTTGATACCGGAAATGAGGTGGCAACACAACCAAAACGTTTGTACGCGTTGTGCGTGGAATGCGCGGCTTTCATGCTGGGCTGCATGGTCGTAATGATCCACACCTACCATATGACCACTGAATTTCCTATAGCGGCTTTCCTGCTCAGCCGGGTGCTGCCCGATAGAATCCTGTGGACAATGGATAACGGCACGGAGCACTGCATCAGCCAAGCAACGGTACGAACCACTCTCGCAATTTTTGTGACCTTTTGGTAACGTGAAATGCTGTAACAAATCCCATTGTGTACGCGGTGTAACGTGCAATGTTATAACATTACAACACACTCTTATCTCGAACTCAACGGCCTATCAAACGGTTGCCCGCTAGCTGTCGGGTTTACTCTGTTCGAAACGTTGACAAATGAGAAAAGTAACTGGTTAAGTTTGGACAAACTGATTCTTCAAGTGGTTAAAAAGTCGTTTCATTTCGAATCATTTTTAACAGCTCGAAAGATTTCCGGTTCAAACCTGCAGCAGTTCAATCTATTCTTATTGTAAAAGTCTGTCGAATTGCCGTTTTGTCTGTTTGCAGCGGATAACTCACGCTGGAGCGATGACATCGTATTGGGCGGCAAAACCAGATAACATATTGATCGGTGAAGGCTTTGAAGCCTGGTGGTTCCCACAAACACTGGGTGCTGCTCTCATGTTCGTCAGCGCCTTACTTTTAATTGCAAGTGGCTTTCAAACTGCCCGTTTTGGAGCGGGGCGTTATGGTTTGAAATTTCTGACCTATTTGGTGGAGTGTTTTGGCCAAGATGACACCGGTGAACCCAACGCAGAACGGTATAATATTATTAATCAGAGTAAAAATCAAACAGATTTTTCGCGATTTCTGTGACTATGTACAAATTTGATTCGTCTGATTGTTAAGCTGTATAATGCGGTAAATTTAGTCGTAACGTTAATAACTTTGTTCGTTAATTTCGTCAAAACGTTAATAACTTTGTTTTGGTATCTGTGCGTATTGCAGTCATCTAATTGACAGAGCATCGCGTACGAGTCCAACTATAAAGGAAGGTGCCGGTGAAATCCAGAAGCGCAACAGCACATATATTTTTGCTGATTGCCAGTGTGAACCAGCCGTCAGAGACATATTAGACGCAGCGGACCAGGCACGCAATGGCGGCAAGGAATATTCCTGCCAATGTTACCAACTAGGCAACCTTGTCCTAGACAGCCTATGGCTGATGTGCTGGGTAAGCAGCTGGTGGTTTCTTCCGTTCCCACTGGCGGAATTCCTGTTGTCCGAGCGTCTGCAGTTCCCAACGCTGTTGATCGTTGTCTTGGGATACTTTTTGTGGATAATTACGATGAGCGAAAGCAGACAAACAGCTGAATCACCTGATGTGCCAGCTAAGAAGGATCCTCTTATTGGAAACGATATCCAGGGTGACGAGAAGGCTGGTGACAAAAAGGCCAAAGGTGTAACATGCATATGTTCCACATGCGGGTTCACTTGGACTCCGTGTGGAGATGTGAGGAATGAGGAGAAGAAAACTGTTAGCACGGGTACCTCCACTAGTGCAGTGGACATGAGCTACCCAGCGCAGAACACGGTGAACGACGCGAAAAATCCGGCTTTACAATAAACAACCAAAGCTCGAAGAGCTTGCAGCAACAATAACCTCGGCTGTGGTGGATGTACACAACTTATGACCATTGCCTGTCTGTTAGTACTGGTAGTTACATTTGTGTGCTATTTAGTGGCTGCCTTTAAAGCCATGATTCTCTTCTGCATTTCGTGGTGTGTTTGTTGTGTGTGGGTGCGGTGTTTGTTGTAGTCAGATAATTTTCGTTTCCGGTATTTCTAAGAATACTCATGCTTGTAAATTTTATTAAAAGTTTAAAACTGCAGTACAACTACAGCCAATGTGTTATCCTCATACGAAGTAAGTTTGTGATGCAGAATTACAGAATAAAGATAACGATACACTAGACTGCACACTTCCTTGATGCGCCATACAGTGTGAGAATGAAAACCGGTGCTCTTTAACGGATTCGTCATTTGGGGTACACTGCACTGCAAACAACAGAAAGTCTTGCGGGCCATGTGATCTCATTTTTTCACTGAAAGTCTGTTTAATAACTGTCTCCATGGTCAGGGGAGAAACCTCGGCCAGAATGGTCAGAACCCCGGGCCTAATCAGCGCCAGCGGAATCTTGATGCCTACGTGGACAGACAGGAGGGCCTGTTCTGGCAATGGACATTCGAGAATGGGATTACCTGCGGCAACTGCATGTGGGGCAATCACCACAGCAATGCCTGCGCGTACGCGAACGTTGACCCGGCGTTCAACCCGAACCTGCGCTGGTACAAGGACTGGCGTCAGAGGTATGATGACGGTGGCCCAATAGGCGCGGCAAACCCGAACCGCGCGGCCTTGGTTCCTTTGCGCCCAATAGGTGCAGGGAGACCGAGGAGAAGGGCCAACCGGAACCAGCCCCCCGACGGAAGAGTTAATGGTGGAGGTCAGCCAGATGAAGGTGGATACTACTCCGAACCCGACGGATACCAGTACCCCGCCGGGCGGATGCAGGAGCCAATAGCTCCGCAGCCCTCAGGGTCGGCACCTTATCCCCCCAATAACGGCGGTGGATCAGCCCCGGTATACCTGACGGGAAACGAGTATGGTCAGTAAGAAACGGTGCCTTAGCTGACCGCTTGCCACCAACCGAGCCACCGGACAAAGACAACCCATTTGGAGGATCCACTGCAGGCGCCCATAATCGCGCCGGGGGGTCCCCGTTCGACGAGAGAATCTTCGCCGGACCTCCTGATACTCATAAGAAAGCTGCTAAAACTCATAAGAAAGCTGCTAAATCTGGAAAGTTGCCGAAGATTAGGGCCACCGCAGGCGCCAATAGCTGCCGCGGTCGGCCCGTGCCCTACAAGAGAATCTTGGACGGCCCGGATGGTACCCGAACCGGAACCATCCTAAACAGAAACGACAACGTTGCCGGACCCTCGACAGCGACTCATGCCGTTAAGCCGACTCGCGACAGTATCGCCGTCAGCCCACCACGGACACGGCCGCCGACGACTGAGGGTAAATCCGGATGTTCGGTTGAACCGAGTCAACCGACCCTGGGATCCACCACGGTAGCCCAATTAGGCTCCAGTGGGTCTTAGCCTCCCCAGAAGACCCTTAAAGGGCGACATGGTTCCCAAAAAGGAATAGTGTCGTCCGGCAGCATCCATGCTGCCGGGTCGCCTGGTGCCAACGACATCGCCAGACCGGCCGATGCCGTTATTGACGCCTCGCCTGCCGGACCGGATCTGGCCATTAACGCTGCCACGGCAACCGGACTTCAGGCCCCAAAGAATGGCTGTGGCTTGACCCCTCAGCATGCGAGACGGCCATTTGGAACCTCTACCGCATGTGCAGCTGTTGGAATGCCCACCAAAAACAAGAAGGGATCCGCCGGTAAAGCTCCTGGTGGATCGTCTGCCAAAACCGCGGACAAGGTTACCTCCCACGGGCCCAGGGATGGAACCTCGGCGACGGCAAGCAATGTCGCCGAATACAAGGAGGCTTACGCTCGGGCGCACGATAATGGGGTCGCTACCTGTTCCACTGCGCTCGGCACAAGCCAAACAACCCCGCCGGTCACCAGTATAGGGGAGCTGCTGCAATGGAACCTCCGGTCGACAAGCAGAGTCCCAACGGACCCTCCGGCTGACCGGACACCTCAACTGCCTAACCCGGTAGTAAAGGTAATCCCGATACCAGAGGGATCGGGCAGTGTGGATATACGGGTAAACCAGAAAGTCGACGCCGGTGAAAGCCGTATCCCTTGCCAGGATCAGACTGGCGAAGGACAGAAGGTTCCGGCAGCAAAGCAGGACCAGAAAGCCCGCAAGGTAGACGGGACGGTAAAGCCTATCCCGATACCAGAGGCATCGGGCCGTGCGGATAAACCGGTACAACAGAAGGTTGATACCCCCGAAAACCGCACCCTCGGGCAAGATCAAGCTGGCAACGCACAGAAGACCGCCGCAGTAAACCAAGTCCCGAGGGAGGATGCACCCCTAATGGATCGGACTGGCGACGGACAGAAGATCACCGTGGCACAGCAAGCCCTTAAAGAGGATAAAGCCCGTAAGGTAGACGGGACGGTAAAGCCTATCCCGATACCAGAGGCATCGGGCAGTGCGGATAAACTGGTACAACAGAAGGTTGATACCCACGAAAACCGCACCCTCGGCCAGGATTGCACCGGTGAGCGACAGGCGATTGCCCCGGAAGAAGGAGCTCCGAAGGTGGACCAACCCGGAAGGGAGGATGAGACAGTGAAGTCAATCCCGATACCAGAGGCATCGGGCACTGAGCGGCAGATAGAAGAGCCGCTTATGTCCCCTTCGAGCCAGGCTGAGTTAGCAGCCATGCAAGCCGAGGTAGAAGCACTCTGGGGCAATGAAAAGCTCCTGATAGAGTGGTACCTTAAGTGGTTGCCTGGTGAACACTGCTGAAGGCCATGATGAGATACCATGAGATACCTGGAGAATGACCGGGATAGAATTTCCCGAGAGCCATCTTAAATTGGATCCGAGGTTCCGACTCACCCAATAGGCGAGAATACTGAACCCGGAGGCTCAGGTTGGCTTTGAGCGCCCAATAGGTGCCATGCCAACCATTCCTCAAATCAACAGAGGCTTGGACCCGGCACTAACCTTTGCCGCGGTGTCATCAAACCTCGATGACCCGGTGTTACCCTAATGAGGTGACACGGTTACCAGAACGGATCCGGAATGGATCCAAGGGACTTCTTTCCCGACACGGAAGGTGACTCACAAGGCGAGTTCACCGGGTGGAATTCTGATGTTCCGGACTTGGAGCCTCTAACCACCGAGAAGCAACCCTAGTCATCCGGAAAGGACCGAGAATCGGCCTTGCCGGACCGAGAAAGACGTTGGGGACCCCAAACGCACCCCCGAAGGACGAACCTCGGACCCTCCCAAATGATGGTGGGAACCCTCAATTGGGGGTCCGGACCCTACCTCTACCGAGCATGATGGCTGGGAAACTTGTCTTGCCCGGGCAAAAATGCCATTTTTCCGGCGAAAACTCCAACTTTGCCGGTAGAAAGAGGGCTATCACCGGAGATCGGAGTAACCACCCGGCCAAATCGTCGAATCCCCACTGGATGGCGTAGTTAACCAGACGGAGTTGGAGGAGGCGACTAGCCCCGGGAGCGCCCGAACACCATGGGTGGAAACCACCAGATCGCTAACTGGACGGAGTAACTAACCGAACAGAAGCGTAGGAGGCGACCAACCCCAGGGTGACATCCGAAGGATAACCCTCCTTTTATGGTTCCATCTTGCCCAATAGGCAAGAACGCGGTAAACCCGGAGCCTACAAGCCAGACATGGCACCCAATAGGTGCCACGCGGATCACACCGGAAGGAGGCTCGCACCTTGCATCAAGTTGGAGATACCTTAACTCGGCTTCTGAGAAGCCTCGAACGCTAATATGGAAGCCTCGGAGAACCCGAAGCCCCGATCCTGGACGCCCGGCTAGACAGCCTGGATTTCCCTGAAACTGTGAAGACAACAGCACAGACCGAGCCTTGATTTCAACTTTGACTTTCTACTACGGTGCAAGACTCCCATGAGGGTCGGTCCGACGCAGATATCGAACTCTGTCAAATTACCCGAGGCTGCACCGGAGAAGCCGAAAAAGCCTGAATGACCGAAGGTTAAGGCTGAACCAGCCAAATCAATCAGGCCGACGAAGGAAGCATCATAACACCTCAATAGATGCAGAATGCGTCGGAGTACCGCAGAATCGACCACCCCCATGGCGGATACGAGCGAGAACCAGCCGTACCCGACCGTAGTAACCATAGGACGTAATTCATAACGAACCATAGAATTTGGTATAATTTCAGACTTTTGATCGTACCGAGACAACCCCCGGTACAACCCTCGATGGTGGTAGTGACCCCAACAGGGTCGACCCCATCAACTCAGAAAAGCTCAACCGGCCCCGGACCATCGTCTGAAGAATTGCGCCGACGGACGGAAGCTGGTCACCAAAGCAAACCGGAAGCTCAATATAAGTTCAATAGACATCGGACAGCAAAAGAGCCTCGGTGAACTGGAACTTAATGGTAGCCGGACCCCAATAGGGTTAAGCTTACCATAAAACTAGCTGGAAACGGTCACGACGACGTCCCCAATAGGGACTTGGACAATAGTTCCCGGACCTTGCCACCGCAGATCGCGGCATTCACCTTGTTCTTGCTACTAGCCGGACCCTCAATAAGGGATACGGCAGTAGACCCCCTGTGGACTGCATCCTGACCGCATCTTCTACCATACGGACCCTCAATAAGGGATACGTTGGTTGAACCCTCCTCGAAAATTCTAAGTCCAATCCGACCCTCGGTGGAGAAGCCTAAGTTCGACTCCACCCTCCGAGGGTGAGCTTTCCAAATCCGAAGGAACGGACTCCCCGGATTGACCCGGCAATTACGAGTGCAGCCGTTAGAATTTCAGAGCTCGCACCGTACTGGAACGTCTTCCGCGGTTTCCCTCGGACAGCATCCGTCAGAACGTTCGGATCCTCCGGCACCAACAACCTTCATGTCATTAACCATATCGTGTCATTAACCATATCTGCTACCAGAACCGCAGACCGCGACCTTAACCACGATCGGCTATCACCATGGGCCCAGAAAGGTCTAAGCCCAACCCAGCCTTCATGGAAGTTAACCTATCAACCCGCAGACAAGAAGATTGGAATATCAAGAAAGAACGCATGTTAGCCGACCGGACAGGGGTCGGACTCCCGCCCAAAGGATGTTACGCTAGCCTCTCCATGGACCAGGATGGCTCCCAATAAGAGCGTCCGTCCCGACCAGAAGGCAAAAATTCATCGGAGCCGGACTCGGACTCCAGCCCAGAGCCTTAACATCAGACACCGAGGTTACCCTCATCCAACCTCGGAAGGCCGGTGATACCCCTCTCCACGTTGCCCAATAGGCGACAGGAGACGAAATTAAAGGGTTTGCCCGGCGAAACGTCGAGGATTCAGCTTAGCCAAGGGCCAGACTGAGGCTAACCCGGTCGCCGAGCCTATCTTGGACATGGAGGATAACCCGATCGAGACTTCCAAGTCCAGCGATAACCCTCTCTATGTTGCCCAATAGGCGACGGGAGACGAATTTAAGGGATTCGCATGGATGAAACATAGGAAATCCAGACTGCCCAACCCCGGACATGAAGGGATCCCCCTGACTGACCCGGCAAATACGAGTGCAGCCGTCGGAATTTCAGCGCTCTCACCGTACCGGAACGTTCTCCGCGGTTTCCCCCGGACAGCATCCGCCAGACGCGCGGATCCTCCGGCATCAACAACCCTATCACCGCAGATCGCGGTCTGCAACCACGACTTGTCACCATTTCGGCCCAGAACGGAGCCTTCACCCTCGCCAACGTAGATCGCGACTAACCACGATCTGAAGGCAGGGCCTCTTACGGACTTCAACTTGCCAGCCGGAGCTTCAGGGCTGCCAATGGACTTTAACTCGGCAGCCGGGGCTACAAGGCTACATTTAGACTTTAACTCAGCAACCCCCTGGCAACCCTCGGATTGGACCCTCGAAGCCCAGTCTTATCCGGTTTACGTTGCCCAATAGGCGACTGGACACGGAATTGACAGGTTTGCCCGGACGAAAGACCTCGAAACTTGAAAAGCTGACCGACTGCAGGGGCTCGGACTGGGACTTTACCTCAGCAACCGAGGCTGCGGTCGAACTCAACCCATAATTCTGGCGGAATCCATGGTATGAAAAGCGACGGGACGGTGCTGCGCGGCGCGATCCGATTCGCTCCACCGGCCTGTCCCTCCGGCAGAAGGACCCTCGGAGGATGCAAGCCTTCGAAGATTGCGTATAACCACGATCTCTACTTTACCAAGGATGCCCATCGAGGCCCAATAGGCCTTCCTTCCACCCCGGAATGAGACGGAAGAAGTGGGACATTAGGGCACATTCATGCCTAGAGGCCGATTGACCCCCGGACACCGAGGCTAACTGACCCTCGGATACCTGCTCGGACTCTGTCCAGAGGCATTGACCCTCTCCATGTTACCCAATAGGTGACGGGAGATGTTAAAAAGGGTTTCTGCCCGGGCAAAATGCCTCGGGACCAGCCTTAGCGGATGCTGACTACTTCACCACCGAGGCTGCCCCGGATAGCGACTTCATCTTATCGGTGAAGACCCTCGGTAGAGTTGCCCAATAGGCGACCTACGCCGCGGATAAGGGTTTTGTGGACATGAAACGACCATCGGACTGCCAACCGCCCGGAACCGAGGCTCGGACCCTTGAATACTGACCCTCGAGGATCGAACTTCCGACCCTCGGGGATCGACCCTCGGACCCTCGAGTACCGAGGCTGCCTCGACTCTTTGAACCCCGGCTATCATCCTCTCCGATTTACCCAATAGGTGACGGGAGACGAACTTGGGATTTTCAGCCGAGCGGAACACCACCACACCCATCTGCCAGCGCAGCCGAGGGTACAACCCGGACTCTTACTCGAGTACCGAGGCTGCCAATGGACTTAGACTCAGCAACCGAGGCTGGGCGTGGACTCTGATTTTGCAACCGGAGCTGACCCTCGGTCACCGAGGCTACCATTGGACTCCACAACCTTGAAGTCAACCGGATACAGGGTCGGACTCCCGCACAGAGACCATACCATCATTCGGACCGGAATGGATACCAGGCATTAACCGGTCCTTGTTGCCCAATAGGCGACCGGACACAACATTACGGTTTACCCGGATCAAACCTCGGATCACCGGACTCCATTAACCTTACCCGATGAACCTCGGTTGGATGTAAGCACGACCTGTCTTACCCGGCTGCGAAGGTTCAAATCAAGCCTTTATCGGAGGATCCCGGTCGGAAAGTGTGTTTCAGGCCCGTTTCGCACCCGACGACGGAGATCCATACCCTTTACACGAAGTCAATAGGGTCGAACCTCTGACCCTCGAGGGTCGAACCTCCGACCCTCGGTGAATTAAACCAGTACCATTGGGTATCCCGAGAACCGATGCCTCGGACCTAGATGACCGAATTTCCAGTGGACTAGAGCCCCCGTGAGCGGACGAGCTCTAGTCGGAATAAGCACCCGGCCCAAAGCCCCGGACCAAAGATTTTGAGTTTGTTTTTCTGTTCTTCTAACTATGAAATAATGTTTTATTAAGAGAGAGAGAGAGATTGATGTTCATTTTTACTTTCATTTTCTTGCCGTTACGGATGTTCACCAACAGAAGCCTACACCGGTCCAACAAGAAACCCGACCGACCTTCGGATTTCTGCCGTGAGTTGTATCGCCACCACGGGTCCGGAGGAGAACGCGGCACCGAGAGACCTTCATCGTACACCACCGAGGCGCAGCCACCGACCCCAATAGGGTCGTGTGCGGAGCGGGCACTGGAGCGGTATGAGGCCGGTCCTTCGCAGGGGCTCGGACTCCCGCCCAGAGGCATTTTGGGCCAGTCGCCATGGCAGCCTACGAGTAGGCAGCCAGCGACAGTCCCGCTTCCGGTGTGCTGACTCACACCGAGTCGCACTCGCTCTCGTACGCCGTATCGGCCTCGACTCTGGCTCGGCTACGCCTTACCACGCCTACGGCTATACGTCTCGGCCAATCAGCGTTCGTTCGCTCGTGTTGGATCAGCCCAGTGCCGCAGATAGGCATTTTCCATGTTACGGCTCATTCAGCCGATCATTCTTGTCAGTCATGATTTTGCTCACGCACTGTGCTGTACTTTATTGCTATCACACAATAAAGCCTCATTTCCTCACTATCGTGAGCCTCTGTTCGCCAGCTGTCACACTGTTGTAATGATCTTTCAGATACAATGGATTTCATTCAGATGGCAGTACACGCGATTCAGTTGGAGTTAGTCTGGCTGATTGTCGTAATTTTGCGAATCAAGTGCTCAAATGAGCAATACCCGCGTGCATGCGGGCTTTGTAGTACACTGTGCACAGAATATTTCAGAGGAGAGAAAGCCTGGGGCTCTATGGGTGGAATCTGTGTTTTTTTTATTTTGACGTTTTTCAGCAGAGATTAGAATGTCAGGTAGAAAGTAAAACGTAGAGAATTTTTTTCTCTTAGTTTAGATGCAGAATCTGTCAAGCCAAACTTTCTGAAATAGTTTCAGAAAGCAGTAAACGAAATAGTCTTGTACTGCACTGCTGCACTGAACTGCCAAACGAGGGTGGTCGCAAGATGGTTCAGCAGTTGCAATTTAGATATTTTCGGTAAAACTCTTTTTGCATTGCTCAGCTTATATTTTCCTCGACAAGTTATATACTGAATTGTAGAGAATTAAATTCTCTACAATCTGGTATGTAGCTAACGGCTGGAATAGCTCAAGAAACGTAATACAAGCGTAAAAGACGTGCGCTCCTGTGTATGCCTATGTATAACTCTCTTCTGAAATTTTACCTGCGCAAGCGCTGTACAGGGAAATAGTAGGGTTGGACGTGCACACGGTTAAGGCTCATTGGGATATACATTATGTAGTATTAGTTGTTCGAGTGGTGTATGCATGTTTTATTGAGCAGTCGGACACGTACAGGGGCATTTTCGCACATAATATCATCCGCGAAGAGCAGATGATATTATGTGCGAAAACAGCTCAGGGCTATGCTAGTCTAATCAATACACTCCGTTAACACCGGTAATACGAACACTGGATATGCAACACGTACCTGCAGTTGCTAATTACTGTGCCTGCAGCGGAGAGCAAAGCAGCTTTTGCATAAAATTGCGTTATGCACAAGGCACGCAATCTCTACTCTAAACCGCAGCCGTATCGAAGCGGAGTCCAAGCAGGCCGCGGCGCACGTGGTACGTCCTGCCGTTCAATAAACCTGCATCTGAGGTTCGCCGTGGATTTAACCAGTCAACCTTCGCAATTGCGGCACGATGCAATATTGACAACAACTTCCGGGTTGCACAATTCTGTTAGCAGTGGCAAATTATTGATTTGCTGCCGCTTGTGCTTCGATGTCAGGATGAGTGTTGCCTGTGGTTCCCAGCTTATCAACTGTTAGATGACGTACGGAGAAACTACGGAAAACAGTCATTCCAGCTTTAAACAGTGCAAGTTTTATCGCTATCTTTTCTCTTTGTGTTATCTTCAAAGAATTTTCTAAATATTTCATAATGCACAGACGAACTCTCCGTTATTATTTACATAAAGGTCATTCCTGGACCTATCAAGAAATCATTACGGAAGCCCTCGTCGTTCTGTGGTTCAGCAGTCAAATCTCTCTGAAATTTGGGATGCGTTCCTTTCCGGGATGGCGAACGAATAGGGCAGATCCTAACGCTCCGCTGCTACTGGACGAAATCCTCGAATTCTTTGGACAGGTAAGTGTTTTTCGAGAACACGTCTTAGGTCCAGAAAAATTCATAAGATTACTTTACTCTAACCAGTTGCGCTTCAGGGGAAATCAATTTTGTGCAGTGCAGCCACTGGCACCTGTACGAGCGCATTCATGATTCAGCATACACGGCTGCCCACGAGTGCAGGGTGCAGTGTGAATCGGCTGAACATTTATCCGTCTATATAGAGCACCGCATACCTCATAATCCTCATATAGTGTATAACTTTCCTTCAAGTGCAGGGTTAGAGTACACTTTGTGCAGTACCCTGAACGCTTTCCGCTGTTTTGTTAACATCTTGGAAGTCTTACTTACTATCTTGGCTGAACGATACGTGAAAACATTAATCAAATTTCTGCACTGCACATTTGCCAGCGTTGGGTCAGCCTTGGGTGGAGAAAACGCCTGCTCACAAGCTTTTCTATAGCAGTCCTGCAAATAACTGCTGTATATTTAAGTTCTGTTGCTCAGTGTGGTGCTTTGGAGGCATTCCGCACAGTATTGTCTCACCTCCCTATAATGGTTTGTACATTTTATTGACTGAATTTCTTATCGTTACTAATTTCTATAGCCAATGAACGACTGTGTGTGGGATGAGGTGCTCTCTCCATGGGAACCCACTTCCGCTATACCAACGTCCCTCGGCGAAGCCCCTTCTGAGAGCGTCTGCCCACCAGTTTCCACTATGGGATGCACGGGCACCGTCGCCATGGTATGCTCCAGCGCCATCTTAGCTGTGGCCGTGTGCTGTTCGCTGTACATCAACCGGAACTGGACGTGTTCGCCCTGGCGTTGGCAGTATCACTTCCACCATTGTCAACAGCTGACAGCGAATTTTGGTTACACAGTGTCTACGACATTCCGTCGTGCGTTGCAACGGTCTTGCGCGTTCTGGCGCTGCTGGTCGGATTGGGTTGCGTTGCCGCGGTGTGGCTAGTTGTTTGCGCATTACCGGTTGTTATCTTAGCGGCGACCATCGTTGTGACAATGGCTAAAATACACGGCACACTCGCCGCTTTCCCTTCCTGTGTCATCGCTTTATGTTTGCTGACACTGCATTGCCTAGGGAGACTGTTAGGATTGTGGATGGATCGGTCTTATTTAGCACCGGTTTATGAGAAAATTCAGTAAGCAGCGCTGCTGTGCATGCATAAATAACATCAGTTGCGCGGATCCATAATTTAAGTACATGGTGCCACCTGGGGCTAATTAGACGCCAAGGTAGCCTTGACAAAGTGCTGATTTTAATGGTGCAGCTGTCGCAAAATGCTGCACCTGTGCTGTACATCCGAAAAAAGCATGAAAATTATTAGAACCAGAAAATTTTGCGAGACATCAAACAGCTAGTCAAATCCGCGGAGCGAAATAAGTTACAAAGAAGTCCACCTCTGCTACTTGACCCATATTTTTCTGTGCAGAAGAATGCTCATGCTGACAAGGAAGATGTCCAAATATCACGATCTGGAAGCCGATGCCGGAAATGAGTCGGGAAGACAACCACCACATCTACACGCGTTGTGCGTGGAGTGCGCGCGGCTTTCGCTCTGGGCTGCTTGGTCGTAATGGTCCACTCCTACCATATGTTTACTGAATTTCCTCCAATAGCTTTCCTGCTAAGACGGGTGCTGCCCGATCGAGAAGTGTGGATGATGGATAACGGGACAAAGCATTGCGCCAGCGAGACAACCGTACCAAATACACTGCAAATACAAATCACTGTCGCAATTTCTGTGACCTTATGTGAGCGTGCAATGTAATCACCAAATCCTTATTTTGCATTCGACGTCCGATCGAACTGCTGCCCGCTAACGGCTTTCGGGCTTTCTCCGTTAAAAACGTTTGGAAATGAGAAAAGTAGATTGTTAGTGTTTAATAAATTGATTCTTCAAATGGTTAAAACAAAACGTATCAAATCCGGTTCTCTTAAACCACTTAAACAGCTCAAAAGGTTTCAAAGCTGCCTGATTATGGTGTGCACAGCTGATGCACGAGGCGGAGCGATGCAATGTCTTTTCTGGTTCAAACGTGCAGCAGTTTTTTTTGGAAAGGCGTGCTTAATTGCCATTTTGTCTGTTTTGCAGCGGCTAACTTACACCGGCGCGATGACATCATATTGGACAACAAAAGGGCAATTGGATTTAAATACCTGCGATGAGTTTTTTCAGTTCTGTTTGTCAGTGATGCCGGGTTGTTTTTTGATGGTGGGCAGCTTAGGGCTTCTGATTGCCAGCGGTGTTTCAGCTGCGCGTTTCCCAGCAGAACGCTATGGCTTGAAATTTCTGGCCTATTTGATGGAGTGTTTTGGCCATGACGAGACCGCTGAATCCGACACAGAACGGTAACCAGGCTGAATGCCGTTGCGCTGTTTCTGTGACTATGTCAAATCATTCAGTCTACCCTAGTACCTGAGATTAAAGATATGCGACACACTAGATATCGAAGCTTTAAAACTTCATTTTGGTACTAGATCGCCACGCACTCGTCTGATCGACAGGGAATCGCGTGCCAGTCCAAGAGGAAAGCAAGTTTCCGGGGAAATCCAAGAAAGCAACAGTGCATGGATTTTTACTGATTCACAGTATGAACCAGCCGACAGGGACGCACCAAACGCAGCGGACGTGTCACCCGATGTTAGCGAAGAATATTCGTGCATGTGTTACCCACTAGGCAATCTGGTCCTCGACAGTCTCTGGCTGATCCGCTGGGCAGGCAGTTGGATGTTCCTCCAGTTCCCACTGGCCGAATTTCTCTTGTTTGAGCGCCTGCAGTTGCCAGCACTCCTGGTGTTTCTCGGGGAATACTTTGTGTGGATAAATACGATGAGCCGTAACAAGCAGACGGCTGAATTCCCTAGTCTGCCAGCTAAGAAAGATGCCCTTGTGGAAGACGACGTCCAGGATGGCGGGAAGGCTGGTAACCGAAAAGCCAAATTTCCAACATGCTCCGTATGCGGGTTCATCTCCACGTTTTGGAAAGATATGCCGGATGGGGGAAATAAAACTGTCAGCACGAGTACCACTGATCTACGGGACATGATTTACCGAGCGCAGTACACGGTGAAATACGCGAAGGAGCCGGCTTTTTTTAATATTGAATACTACATGCAATAACGTTAAGGATCGACGGGACGCCAATAATCCAGCTGCAGATAAGATGTACACATTTTATTCTTTGCTGATTCGTTTGTACGTACCTTACATTTATCTGCTGATTAGTGATTAAATGCAAAGCCATCACACTCTTCATTTTGTGGTGTTGTTGTTGTAGTTACACAACTTACATAACTTTAGTTTTCGGTATTTGTATGAATCTCAACTCGTTCATGTCATTATTAGGGGGGATCCATAAATTACGTACGCAGCGAACCAGGGAGGGACGGGTCCGAAAAATGTGACAAGCTGTGACGGCCCCGGCGAACCCAGGGGGGAGGGGTGGTCAGTTCCATGTATTACGAATGAGCGAACCAGGGGGAGGGGCCAAGCAAACGTGACGGACCGCTACGAAGGGGGAGGGAGGGGTAAAAAAACGGTGGTTTTTTGCGTACGTAATTTATGGATGCCCCCTAAATTGCACTACAACTAGAGTACATAGTTGAAGTTCTATACATACTCGTACAATAATGAATATACTAGTCCGCCTCTATGCTAGTCTTACTTCTGTTTCTGATCCGGCATCCTTGTTCACTCCATTCAACGCAGAACGACCGTTTGATGTCATTATAAGCCGATATTTTTCACAGACGGTCATTTTAATCTATATGTGTATTTGACGCTAAAAAATCGATCAGTACCCAATCGTACTTTTTCCGGAACCTTTCGTTCAGCCCTCGGGAAATCAACTACGGAAGCACAGTGCAGACTGCAAGCGTGACAACTGACAAGGACGAATGGTGGTGAACTTTCCGCTCGGCCAGTCGGATGACACGGACGATAACACTGGGCCAGCTCTATGTCCAGCTGGACCACGTCCCAATATGTGGTTGTGCGTCTGTGGCGCATTTCCACCATCGGGCAGCAAGCTGTGGATGCACCGTCGCCGCTCCAAGTGACCCCGAAATTGTGCTTTCGCAAATTTACGGACCCGTTTCAAGCATGCTCATCCGACTAAGAAGCTGAACATGAAGGCCATATGAAAATGCCTGTACATGAAGCGTGTAGTAAATTGGCGCCAGGCTAATCGTCCTGCAAGGAACGTCCACGTCGCTTTCCGCGTCTACGTCTGTATTACTTAAGATGGTCTTCTGCATCTCTGCGCCCAGCTTCCTGGTGTGAGGTGGTAGCAATAGCCACACACAATTTATTTTCCCCGACAAAGTGCTTAATGGCAAGACCGCAGCATATGGCAGTTTAACAATGTTCGCAATGACCATTTTCTAAATCTCGAGTTTTCTTTATCAAGCAAACTAAACATCGCCTGCAGTGCTTTCGATTGTGCTGTGGCCGGATTACCGCGCGAAGCCAAAGATGCCGGTGGCCACGTGTCATGCGTGCGTGCGTAGCACAGCTACTGATACAGTTGTTTAGTAGATGCATACCTACATACCTCATCTGTGACCTTTTCATATGTATCGAGCAACCGGACAACGTCAATGTCAGAGGCCAACTTAATGCAAAAATATCGTCCGCATAAATTCTATATCTTGCAGCTTTTAAAGCTAAGACAGCTTGCTTTATTAGCGATATCTTCTAAGAAGCCGAAGAACAGGAAGAAAAGTAAATAATTTTTGACGGACTGAAAGTTTAAGTACGAGTTACTTTGGCCTGTTCCCGCTTGATGTGGTATCACGTATAACATTGTACGAGTATATGCACGAACTCACAAAAATTAATGGCCTTTGTCGAAGTCTTGCTTCGCCTTGCTTAAGATCCGCCATCCGTATTTCCTTTTGTTTTACGTGGACAATTGTCTGACCTTGTTATGGCTAAGTGGCTTAGGAAAATCTTTTCAATTTTCTGTATACAACATCAAAAATTTGATAGGAGGTCATGCTCAAAATACGCTGAATAGTAAAACTGGGGCAAATGACGCGTGGCGTTCACAGGGAAACGGTTCGCTTCGTCAGTGCCCTTCAGCAAGCGACATGTGTTGTGTTTGCTGAAAGGTGTACATATTTTATGCTGACGATTACCTCTATACAAGTCTATTAGTAATTTTGAATACGTGTCCCATAGGATTTTCCATTATTGCCTATCTTCATACAGTCGCTGTCATGAACAATATTCCGTTGTACTTCTTCCGCGGTCCAATGTCCGGACCTCGCGAAATGAATTGCGGGAACACAGTGATAGTGGAGCGTGACAACGGAGAGCGATGGCTGGGATACGTGCAGGATATTGATGGCGACCTCATGTTCATTGATTTCGACTGCAAAAAGGTTGCCGCCGACTGGATTCATTCGCGCCACGTGCGAGCACAGCGCTTCCTGACTGATGATTGGGAGCTGCGGCGCTGGATAGAAGAGCAAATAGAAGGTATCGGCAGCTGTGGCGTGCAGGTGGCGCTGCGCCACACCAAGTACGGACCACACATTTACCGCCCGGCCAGTCTGCTGACACAGATGACATCCATGGGCGCATTCTACGTCAAACTGGACGACGTGACTCCGCCCCAGTATGCGGTGGTGCATCTGTGGCAGATTGCCACCAACATGGACCAGACTGTGAACGAGCCGCCGCTGCCCGGGATAATCCGCGGATTGTATTACCGCAAGTTCACCGTACCCTTTCCGAATGCCCATCTGATTACGAAGCTGGACTTGGAGGCCATACGGAGATGCGTATGCCAGACCGCAGCAAATCAGCCTACAGTTTTGATGTCTGAACATAGTCGGTTCTGGAAGAACGTCAAAGCGGACACTTCGTACCGCTTCTACGTCCGCGTTACAGGAGACTCCTTCTATTTTGTCTGCGGCCAACTGAACTCCGAACAATCTACCTGGCACGGGAAATGGAACGAAGATACCCTCATAAAAGCATGTGCGAGCTTCTATCCCGTTCCGTCAATGCTAGATGAGGCAATGGGGGATCTTCAGCCGAAGTTAATGTTAGGTAAGTAACTCCTAGCAAAAATTGCGATTCTGTATTTTAAAAATCACAAATACAAGTATTCAGTTCAGCATGAACACAGACAAATATCGTTCAAAGGAACAGATATTTTAAAAGCAGCAGATGTTCTATTGTGTTTGGGGGAAAAACTGGCACAGTCAGCAGCGATGCTGCTCTGACTATTTGCACCTTACATGCTCAGGAGTCACTCTGCTGTATTTTGGTTAGCTTTCATGCTACTTTGTTAAGTTTGTTTCCCATTATTTTATTTTGTAGGAGAAACATTGCTACATAAAACGTATTTACCGTTTACCTTTTTATGCACGGGTTGGTAAGTACTGGCAGTTATGGCTGAGGCAGTCAGAACTGGGGTCCAAACGTCCCCCGTACGCCACAGCCATGACCACCGGTCACATTTTATTGGACTTTAGGCAGAAAAGATGGAGCTAAGAATTCTGCAGTCAAACCTTATGGTTTGGCTAAACAAAGCCATTTTGCAAAAAATTTTTAAAATTGTTGAAATTTTGGAAGTTCCAAAAAGCTCCCACTAGTGCTAGAACGTTTAAGTAATCTTAAATTTCTATCGCTAAACTGTGGTCCGAGTTCACACAATTTGAATTTTTCGGGACACTTTTTCTCTCGAAATATATTCTCTGCGTGCTCTACATGTTCCCTCTAAGTGTAGAAGTGCCTGCAAAGGTCACGACAGTGAATATCCAGAAAGGTGGCCCGCCGCACGAGAACGAACCCGCATATTTAAGCGAGAAGGAACCTTAGCAGCGCAGCCCCATCCGTTGAATCTGCAGAACGATTGCTGACATTACATAGCGTATTTTCAGGATATCGTGACGGGTGGATTGCTGACGTGGCACCTCCTGTTCTGGCTGAGATTCTTACGAGTCTGGATCTGCATACTCGATCACGAGCAAAAAGGTATAACCGGGAAACGAATATTGCTCCAGTCTTTAAGTATCTCGTAAGGTGGACCAATAGAGCGGACCTCCATAGAACAAATTACGTATGTCTACAGTTCTCGAATGTTTTGTTTCTTTCTCTGAATACAGCTTTGTAGGTTGTGAAAGAATTTGTAGGTTGTGTGTTTTCTACATCTACCGGGTGGCTGAACAAAGTGTCGGTCTACCGTTTTGATTCGTTTCACGCGGGACTGTTGCCATATCGTTAACCACTGTAGTAAGTCTCGTTCGACAGGGATTTTCGCTAGTCAAACATCAACAAAACAGTTTAGAAAAAATTAAGCCGTGCTCGTTTGCAATGTGCAAATTTTCCCTGTCCCAAGTTGCAATTAAACATAGAATCTCGTGGCATTTTTTTTCCCGTATGGACTTTTTGAATTTTTTCAACTGTATCGCCTAGAGAAATACATTTTATCCTAATAGAAAAGCATGCTGGTTGCGCTGAGCGAGTTATGCCGTCTGCGCACTTCGTGGCTTTTCCAAAAAGTGCCGGTTTTATTTGATTTTTATGAGTAGTTTTTGTTAATGAGATTTTTGGCTGCACGACAGATTGCAACAAAAAAGGCGGGGTTAACATTTGAATGCACATAGGTAACACGTCGCTCTTGCAGAATCAAAATTGAAACAGATCAGCTTTTAAAGCGCTGGTCAGGAAACTTGCGGATTTCACGAGAATTACTCATGCGGAGTTTCCGTTCTTTCATGTATTGAGTGACAACAACGTGAGCTAAATTGATGCCCTTAGTTGAACAGCAAAAATTTTGGTTTGGAAATGGGTAAATTCAAACTTTCGCTTCCAGGACATCCTCCAAACTGCTAGCGCGTACGCTGAGTGAATGACATTTACGTCGTCTTCACTCGCACCGTGATGCAGTGAAACTGCTTAACTGTATTAACAACATTTATGAATAATAAGTAATAGCATGCTAATATAATTGCAGCAACCTTGATTACAGGGTATGCGCGCTGTGGCTCCAGCTGCTATCCGAACATCGGGCCCACCGACACATCACGATCGACTGCTCTATTGTGATTCAAAACGAACTGCCTCCGTTGATATACGATGACGTCTACAGCTTCGTTTGGGGCTTAAACCAGGCGGTAACCAACCACACCGACAGTCTGACGCTGCTGAATAGCGTTTCCTGTCCTA